CATTGTGATTGTCAGTTTCATCTTTTAATTCGATGTGCAGACTGCATCTCGACTTATTGTATTTGATGTTTGTTTGTTTTTTTTTTCTTTCATGAAGGTTCCATGAAGCCAAGCGTAGTTCATGCGGCTCTTTTATGCACGTTTCTGAGATCTGAGACAATGACGTGATCTAGTATCAGGTTTGACATAAGCTTACAGAACCTAAAAAAGCCTTTAGACATTTTCCGACCTCAGATAGAGAGAAAATGTTCCGAAGAATACTTAGCTATAATCTGGCTGTAAAAGGTAAGCTGTGAACGCTTTTCTTGGCTCGAGTTCATCTTGAAAAATAGCAAACACCGGGAAGCCGGCTTAAAACTCTTTAAATTTGCAACATATTGGTTCACCGAATGACATGATTGTTACTAGCTTCTCTTGCAATTTTAATCGCTGTGTCAGTTGTTTTCAGTCGTACATGAACATCGCTTGCAGGAGTACTCCAAATGCCGCGCGTATCAGTTTACACATAATAAAACCGTTAAATAAAAAAAATAAACATAATAAATTCTTTATTATGATAAAGCGTAACTCTAAAAATATTGATGTTCATTCAATCACGCAACAACTCTCACTGAAATTTGGCGCTTGTCAAAAGTGAGAACCGGCTGGTCGTACAGGTGATTTCGGAAATTGTTTTAACTTTTTCGTTAAAAGCCCATTACTACCCTTATTACACATCCAACTTACTATCTCTTTTCTGATTGGCCGAACGCGTACAGTGAATTTTCGAAATCAGCGCCTGGGACATCATCTAGCGGCAGATTATACAATAATCATGTCAACGACACTCAAGGTCAAGGGTAATCATGTCATGTATGACCGCGGTGCATGATTTCTAAGGGTAATCATGTCAAGTTCGCGCGTTTTGTGTTGCTTGCCGTCAGTGAAGAAGCAAAAACATGACTTCCAGGTTTGCTTCGTCGACCGAGCAAGACATCGAAAAAATATTTGAAGACAAGGACTCATAAAACACAAAAAGGTCGACGAAGGTGGCAAAGGAGCTGTTTGCTGATTACGTGAAAGAAACAAACTGAGAGAACCTCTGGTATTTTTTCACCTTTAGAGATAAGCTTAAATTATCAGTTCCACTTACTGTCGTGACCATTTTTTGTTTTTCGTTCAATGTATAGTAAAACAATTATTAGATTCGATTTTTGTGATATCCAGAATAATCAAGGTCTCGGCACGGGGGAGAAATGATTGCGTGCCGAACGAACCCCAAAGGAGCAAAGTGCAATTTGTCCTGCAAAATTGTGAAAAACTGCATTCTGTCCTGTATGATAAAAAAACAGCGTCTCAAAGTGCTGTTTACCTCCCAAATGTGATATATAAAAAGTATAAAAGGCTGGTTTACACGCCACCAGATTTGTTGGCAAGATTTTGTAAAGTAAACTTGTCGAACACAAAACGGGCATTTTTTTTTATTTTATTTTTTTAATTTTGGCCTCCCTTTTAGACAAAGGAATACAAGCTATAAATTACAACGCGTAACTGATTGGTTGCCACCGAGGACTATCGTGTCTTATAACCGGCCTTTAAAGCATAAAATTAAATTTCTTTGCTGTCCAATTAATCTTATATAATAAATTGGTGTAGGTGGGCGACTGGGTTATTTTGTTTGGAAAGAATTTGTTTTCCAGCCTTTTCCGGGCCTAATCTGCTGAGCCATTATGCAGTTGCATTATGGCTCTTGGCTGTTATGGAAGATGATTGATATCTTTTGGGTGTACATATAAGTTAACTCGATGCAAGTTTTCGTTTCACTCTTGGACTGTTTGCAAATTACTTTTCTCTAAAATCACTTAGCCTTTCCCTCAAAAGTCACATGAATGTGTCCTAAAGTAACTGATTTGTGGATTACAAGTTTATTGTTTGATTTAAATTATAAATTAATCAATGGGAGCTTCGTGTTTAGCCCTGGCTAAATGTATATATTATAATGGCAACTACTTATCGTTTTATCGTAATGGGCATGCGTGCTGTTACAATTGTTCGCATGAGAGGACAGAAATTCTGTTTCGACATTATGTGGGCGATTTGACAGAAGTTGACCAACATAAGACCAAACGAACTAGAGAGTGAGTAACGGCGTAATGATTCAATGCTCATAATTGATAAATGGGTCAACCAGTTTTGTTGTCATAGCAACCGACCTTGTCCCGAGCATTTCAGACGATTTTCCGACCATTTTCGAAGATGTCCCGAATAAACTAAAACCCAGTCAATACCCGACCAGACCAAACTCGAAATCAGACCTCGCACGACCATGCCCAAGCGACCACGCCCTCATATGACTGCTAACTGCAGGCTCATTTCTGCTGACTGCTGACCGATGTGTTGGAGGCTAAAAAAGTGCTGTAACCAACCGATACCCCACTGGCAATAACAAGTGAAAGAACTAACATGATTGATGTCCTGAGGGATACTAAAATAGTGTTTGGCTTGGTACAGCTGTCTTGCTGAAATGCAAAGTCATCAAATTCTCTGGGGTTTTTTTCTGGTTTCTGGTCAAAGCTTGAGTAAAACGCTCCAAGAGAAAGAGCAAATACGTACCCAACAAGAAATAATGTTAAAATAATAATAAGTATAACCACACATACCTTTAGCACCATATACCTCAACTCGGAGACAATTCTGTCGTTCCTGCTTGATTGGATGAAAGCGAATATATCGTGCAGCGACCTCCTGACGTAGAATGTGATAATCAGTTGTTGCGCTGTTGCCTTTCCTATGGAATTCCTAAAAGATAATATATACGTAAAATCCTGCTTAACTAGCCTGCTACTCATCTTAAAATGATGTGTGAAGGAGAGAATGTACATACAGCTCTTAACAATTCAATTTCAGGAAAAAAAATGCCAACATTTGACAAATTGCATGAGATGGAACTGGTGATTAAGTCTGAACAGTGCCAACTTACTTTTCAGGTAACATTTTCGCTGCCATCGCTGTCGTTTTTGCTTATCCTCCTTAATACATAGCCGAAGGCGAAGGGGTAGACAGGGCCCCTCGCGTTTGCTTAAATAATAACTGTTATGCACTAGGCTACAATAGGACCTGTGGCAGACCCCTTCCACTTAGCTTTCAGCCGCCAATCCCTACACAGACTCTTATAGAAGAAAACATCATTTCGCCAGATTATTCAGTCCGCATACTTTTTAAAAGACATAAATATACTCTGACTTTTTCTATGACTTCGACTCTTTAGCCTATTGGTTGCTGGCGGCATGATGCTTCATAACATCTCTCCTTTACTGAACTGAAAAGTACTAAAAGCTCTCACCATGTCAGTGCCGTTGACATCTTTGTAAGTCGTCCAGTTCTTTTCATCTGATGAATAAGACAGCTTAAAGACTGTAGTCCATTCATTACCGTTTACGTCTCCTTGAGTTGCTACAGCGCACACCTGAATTCTCGTTCCCATATCAACCTGCAGCCAGTCAGTGGTGCTATCCTTGACCACTGTGCACCATCCATCACCTCTTATACCATTAAGTCGACCATTAGCTGGTCTGCAACGGTTTTTATCTTGTGAAGAAGCTGTCATCCAATTGTCAGGAATTATCCGTGGATCAGAGACTCCCACAGGGATCATCGCACAGTGTTCCACTGGCCCTGCAAACATAAATACAACATCAGGTCTACTAGGAAGACAACGAAGACAAACAAAAAGATTCTAGTCGTGTGAAATAGGATTCCCATGTAGCCACGAGGCGTGCCCTTGATTTCCAATGTCTTCTTTTTTTCCCTGTCATCTTAATCAAATTTTAGAATTCTGCGAGTGCATGTTATCTTACTGAAGGATAAGTGTTCGCTCATACCGTATTTTTTCAGAAATGCTGTTTTTTGCAATTTTTGTTAGCCGGGAAGTTAAAACTAATCAGAAACGGAGAAATATTTATTGAGGAGGAGCAAATTTGCCTTTTACCCCAAAAGGAGGGACTAAAGTACTAAAGCAAAGCGCGCACAAGCAGACCATTATTGTAGAAAACGTTTTGGCATTTGACCAATCAAAATTGCCACAATTGCCAGAATGTGGGGTGTATGCACTATGACTGTCCCAATCATAATTTTGCACTTTTTAAGGACTGATTATAAAAGGAACGAGCGAAAACATAAAAAAAAACACATGATAATATATTAGCATTCACTGAACAGCTACAAAGCAATACACCGCTAGGCTAGACAAAACAAGACTATTACGTAGAGCGCAATTATTTTAAGTTCCTTTAGTCCTTACATAACGAGTGCAAGATTGAAAGATATATAATTATTCTCGCATAAAATTCACCCCATCTACGTCGAAGAATAAAACATGAATCTACTGTAAACTGCTGCCTATAAGCCCTGGGCTTAGACATGTTTATAAGGGACTTAAAAAAGGGCTTATAAAGTAGTAATAACCAAAGGTTACGGAGTGCGGGCGATAACGATCGAAGGTCAAAACGCTTTTGCCCCAACGATGCGCTTCGTGTAAGTTTCACGTGACAGATGGTCAAAACACACGTGATAAGATTTCATGTGATAGAAGGTCCAAACGCAGGTGATCAAATTGCTTTCTGTGCATTCCATTCATTCTTAGTCCAGACGAATGCTGACTGCATACATGCGACCCGTGTGTAATAACAACCTGACGATTAGGATTGTGTACGTGTGTAATAATTTATAATTGTCACTCGACCCTAACCGTGTATAACTCCTTTAGTGTTGTTGATCAAGTGAAGAGATTTAGGCTCTAACGATAAATGTTGGCCGTAGAGTCTTAATAAGAACTCTTTTAAATAGCAAGACTGGTATGAGGGTATATCTATGACAAAATTCAATAGCCTAAACGTGAAAAGGGTTAAGTCAAATCTGAAATATACCGAGTCAAAGTTGGTAAAAAAAAAAGACCACGCTAAAACGAAGAAATACTAAAAAAGCCACTATCATATAGGTATTACGCAGAAAAAGGCATCACGCTAAAAGGCAACACGCAAAGAGGCATCACGCAAAGAGCCAACACGTAAAAAGGCATCACGCAAAAAGGCATAACGCAAAGAAACAACTCGCAAAAAGGCATCACCCAAAGAGCCAACACAAAAAAAAGCATAAAGCAAAGAGCAAACACTCAAAAAAGCATAACGCAAAGAGGCAAAACGCAAAAAGGCACCACGCAAAGAGGCATCACGCAAAGAGCCAACACGCAAAAAGGCATAACGCAAAGAGGCATAACGCAAAAAGGCAACACGCAAAAAGGCATCGCAAAAAAGGCAATGTGCAAAAAGGGGCATCACGTGAGAAGTTTACTTAGGATCCAGGCCTGGATCTTGAAAAGTATTATTTAGTACATACCGCAAGCAAACCGAAATGGTATTCGAACGAGACATTCCATCTTGCTCACCTCGTGAGGTGCTTATTCGGTACCTTAGGCGTTCCCTGATTGATATATTACAACAAGTCCTAAACGGAATTGACAGCAATTGCATTTCTTTCGGGCTGGAAAACTTAATTGATTTACTTTTGAGATCCGCACATATTTGGCAAGATGGCGGACAGGTTTTACCTGTTCTTCGTGCAGCGTTAACAGCAGTGGAAAATTGCCGTCAATCCGAGGATGATCCCACCATATGAGGGAACTTATCATGTGATACCCTTTTTGCAAATTGCCCTTTTTCCAAATTGCCTTTTTGCGTTATGCCTTTTGCGTGTTGCCTCATTGCGTGATGCCTTTTTGCGTGTTGCCTTTTAGTGTGATGCCTCTTTGCGTACTGTTTTTTTGCGTTATGCCTTTTTGCGTGTTGGCTCTTTGCGTGATGCCTCTTTGCGTGGTGCCTTTTTGCGTTTTGCCTCTCCGTGATTCCTATAGGATAGTGGCCTTTTTAGTATTTCTTCCTTTTAGTGTGGTCTTTTTGTTACCAACTTTGACTCGGTATATTTCAGACTTGACTCAACCCTTTTCAAATTTAGGTTATTGAATTTTGTCATAGATATATCCTCATAGACTGGTTTCGGAAATCTAAAATGGTTTCCTTCGTCAAGCTTTCGTCAGTTGCTTTAACAGTTAGTTGCTCGTAACAAAAGCAAAAGAAAGTGACTTCTGTGGCTGCAAAAGGTCCCTTTTTATAGGCAAAGAAGAGATGCGTTGTTAGAGAAAGTAACCAATTAGAAGTGTAGCACTTCGATCCATAACGCTTGACTTTGCTTGTTCCTTTGTTAGCGGTAAGCAACAGACGCTAACTGAACGCACGTAAATTTGCTGATCAAAATACGTTTTTCAGTTACTGGTTTTTATTAAACTTCAAAAAATCTCAATAAATCGAAGTCAGAGGAAGGCTTCTATCCGGGTGGGATATAATCGGGTTGTTGTTGTTGACAGGTACATGGGCTTATAACTGGGGGGAGAGGGGGTTGTGGCTGATAACTAGCAGTTTACGGTATTTACCTTTTTCGCAATTTCTTCCATAAAATCCCTCTGCACACGCGCACTTGTAACTATCACCGTGTTCAGTTGCGATGCACTTTCCTCCATTACAGGGGCTGTGTCGGCAAGGATCGCCTGCGGAAAATAAACCCCCACTTCTGTAGGACCCTGTGTCCCTTATATGGCCTGTACGGGGATGTGCAGCTGGACGGGATATGTTTTTTTTTTTCCTTTCATTCCTAAACAGGGTGTATAATTTCGTGCGAGTCTGTCGTAATTGTAAACAGGGTATTGCCAGCACGATTGAGTTGATTTGTTTGATGAAATTTGTTTGTGTTCCAAGTATACAATAGCAATGATCGTAACGTGAATTTTCTCAATTGCAATTGCACATGAAAGACTTTACAACAAGACGGCGTTTATTTTGTCGTTTGTCGTAAATAGGTGTGTAACGTTGAGGGCGTTGGGGTCTCCTAATTGCAACAAACTGCAAAACAAACTGATACTCAGGCGGCATTTTCAAGCAAAAAACTAAGGGTCGAACCATTTTTTCTTCTGACGAAGTGGGAGGGGGTAAAAATAATCCTGCACAAGTCCACCGTCCGAAAAAAAACACGCACGTATAGTGGGCTAGAAAAAATTTCTAACGTTGACATACTGAACCTGTTTCCCTTACTTTTATTATAAAAACTGAGACTTTGAATCAGGACTTGGGTAAGAGATTCGTAGCATAATAATATGTCCTTCCCAATTGGCTTTTTCTTTGCATTTATAACACTGGTTATTCAGGACATTCTTGAATTCTGGATTCCACGCTGTGGATTACGGAATTCAGGGACAGGATCATTAGATCCCTTTTCAACGAAAGTGGGATTCCGCATTCCAATAGGTAGCTGTATTCCGGATTCCAAAACCCAGGACTCCGGATTGAAAGAAACTATTCCTTGATTTTGGATTCCAAGAGCGAAAATTTCCCGGATTCCGAAATCCGGAAATACTTACGTGATGCGAGTACTTTGTAAGCGTTTTGTAGTCAACAACCCCTACATACCTGTAAACTGAGCCTCAGCTGTTCCCAGGGTCACGTTCGATCGCACTAAAGAGCAAGAGTACCGTCCAAGATCTAGTATGGTGACATTTGTAACAAAGAGAGCTGTCCATCCTTCTGATTGGCCACAGGAGTTAGGAGGAGATATCTCATAAACCATGATATGCTTTTCATTTCGTTTTAGTTCCTTTCCCCGAAATTCCCATTTCCAAGCGTATAAATGGGATGTCAAACGGGGGACATTTTTTGCCTTACAGACTAAAGTCGCATTCGTATCTACTATGGTGAGCGACGGTTGGCCTAAAATTTAGAAAAAAAAGGAATGTACTGGCTAAGATTTAGAGTAAACCTTTTTAAAACAAGGTAACAGGAACCGGTAGAACATATTAAAAGATAAAAAATAGAAGCCTTAAACATTCATAAGTACGTTAATCACCGACACTAATTTCAATCCCATGTATTGGATCTCTTCCCCTTTAGGGTGGACGTCAAACTCCTAGACCCTCTTGTCGACATTATTTATGATTAATTCATGTATTTTAATGATTTTGTCTCTCACTACATGTAGTGATACTATAACTTTCTTTCCATATTTGAGAATTCCTTCCCTCTTTTTACAGTTCATCGATATTTTTCCAAGTAAAGATATCAATTATGACTTGTTTTCGTTTCAGTGTGTTAAATTACTGCTCACCATATAATACAGAAAATTCAGTGCCAGTTAAGCTAACTCGCCTTCTAGTTAAATGAGCTCTCTTGATAGGTTGCTAACCAGGTTTGCTAGATACTCATAAATTTAGGGTAGTAGCCATATTTGTTCGAGTGTCGCCCCGAGTGATTGGTAACGCTTCTTCTCTTTCTTCTTTTCGAGTTTTTATTAGTCGGCAAAATCTGGGAAAGTCGGGAATCATCAAAATCCCCGATTGTTGCGATTCCGGTTAAACAAACTATCACAAGGTAGTTGGAATCTTGAAATTTAATAGAACTGAAGACTCATCGGCTTCGAACAACTTACAAGTTCCGCGAGTCTCTAAACACGTGGTTAGACTAACATGATTGGCTAACTTGAGTCACATGACATAAGCGATTACGTGACATAATAACGTTACACCGATCGTCTGGGATTTTCCCTACATATGAAAACAAGGCTTCATGAAAACTCGAAATCGTAGATATCCCCGATCGTCTGGGATGGACGGGGACAAAACTGGAGAATTGGAAGCGTTTCTATTTTCCCGATTCGTCCCAGATTTCTGCGATGGTTGGCGATCATTCCCGACAAATGACAAACATGGCGTCTCTCGAGAATCTGGGACAGACTTCTGATGATTATCCGATATATCGGCAGAATCTGGGATGGTCGGCAAAAAGTAAAATCCCCGATCGTCTGGGATTTTCCCGACATATGAAAACCAGGCTTATCATGCACACATAAACATCGCGTCTCTGGGACAGACCTCTGGCTATTATCCGATATATCGACAAAATCTGGGACGGTCGGCAAAAAGATCAATCCGCGATCGCCTGGATTTTCGCGACCTATGAAAACCAGGCGTTATGGTTATGGACGACGTGCACTTTACCTTTCATTTTTGATTGTAGACTCGTGGGAAGAAGTTCCTTCAAAGATTCAGTCACTGTGGGCAAGGATGGTGGACCTGTAGAATCAACATCGTGAGAAAAGAAAAGCCTCACACGAAAAAGCCTCGGACTCGACTCCGACGCAGATCCTCAGGCGTTCGCTGGGGAGGATTGCGTGACGAGCCAAAAGAACGTCTGCGTGGGAGGCCACACACGAAACTAATGATAATAATAACTTAATAATAACTGGTTAGAAATCATACAATACGGAGTTGTTACAGTTCAATAGTAATTTTACTATAATGTTATTTATCTATTTATTACGCTTTTAATTCTACTTCTGTAATTTATTGTGTGGCAAAATAATAAAACAAATGAATATATATTAATAGACACATACATTTTGAATAAACGTAGAGGAAAAGTTACATTGACAGAAATAGCGGATTGTGGGAACAATGGACTTTTTTATTTTCACCATAGCAAATTTCTTCTAAAATGATTTTCTTCCTCTAATCTAAATCTGTTGGTGCTAGAACGGAAACATATGTTGTAAATATTAATAAGATCATATCTTATTGCAGTTTGAATGGATTTAATGGAACGGAAAACGGCCCCTTAGGCGGAATTTGAAGAACAAAAATTCCAAATACGGTAAACGTTAAGAATAAATAATAAGTGACTGACAATACAAAGCAACTTACAAGAGGCCGTGACGACGATATTCCGTCTCCTTGCGTGGTATTTATTTCTTGCTTCACATGTGTAATTCCCAGAGTGCTCCAGTTGCACTGTATCCAGTAGAAGCTCATGAATTCGTTCTCCAAAAGCCGCAGACACTACGTTGTTCCTTATCCTAATAGTTCCGTTTAAATCGCCATCTCTCAGTGCTATGCCACTTCTCAGCCACGTGACAGTTGGTGTTGATGAGCCCGTCACGTGACATGTAAGGATTTGTCTCATTCCGACAAACGGAGATATATGGTTCTTATCAAATCTGACTGACGGATTGTCTGGAGAAAAAAAAGGAAAAGAAAAAGAAAAAAAGCAATAGCATTAGAACAAGAAAGTCTATAGGTAACCAATACCGGTATGTATGAAAAAAATAATAATAAATAAATAACACGCTTTTAATTCAAGACAATCCATGAGATTGGGGTACACTTTATCACTTGCAGCTAAAAGATCAGTTCGGGAAATTCTATCTGTCTTGATGTTCTTAAAGCTACCAGCGATGTGGC